AACCACCTAGCGAAAATATAGTTGCATGCCAAAAACGTAGGTACGCATAATACATATCTTTGCTCTGTATAACTGCATTGAGCACTATTAAATTTACACCTCATGTATAAATTTAACGATTATTTATTTGCTTGCCTGCGTATGCACACCAGCACACGCGTACATGCCTACTTATATTTGGCCATTTCATTTATTCACTATACAACTATATATATATATATATATATATAATAATAATAAAAAGGCTTAAACACTAATATTCCATGGTCATAATTTATTCCATTGGAATCGTAAATACGATCCAATTCATCAGACCTACGAATTCAAAAACAAAGCAGAAAAAACAACTCTGGGAATAAAAAATAAAATTTAGAGAGAGTGTAAGTATGAGAGTGTGGGATGAATGTTAGAGCTATAGAGAGGGGTAACAGACGAGAGAAGGTGGGGGATTAAAATTTAGCAGAGAGAAGTTTTAAAGAGGGGAGTCAAAGATGGTTTAAATGAGAGAAATATGAATGTTGTCGGATGTCTAATACATTAAAGATGTAACCGGAAAGGATACATTTTACCACTAATATTTTTGAGGGGAAAAGAAATTAACTCTGTTATATATGCTGCAGACAGGCTACTTTTCATTGTGTCAAAGTGTCATTTTGTCAGTGTTGTCGCATGAAGAGATATACTTAAATATTTGAAGAAATGTGAGGGGTGTACACACTTTTGTGATACACTATATATATATATATATATATATATATATATATATATATATATATATATCAGCTCAGTGGTAGAGACTCTGACTAACACCAAATTCGTTGGGTTTCAATCCTGGCTTGAGGCATTTGGATGTCTAGTCACACTGAAGAGCTGTGATACAGTGAAACAATACTGTCTGCGAATGACATATATATATATATATTATTACTTCAAACATTATTTCTAGTGGTTATCGATATTTGAAATGGACTCCTTAGTTTTTTTTTTATTTTAAACAATGTGTATTATGTCTATTGGTCATTAAAAGTATAAACTGAACTTTACTGGGCTCTAATGTATGTATGTATGTCAGATCAAATTGTAGATTCTCCTAACAGAGAGGGAATGAACTCTGCCAGAGTGCACATTTTTTTTTAATTTCTTGAGTGCGCAGACCGATAGGTGCAAAATGCACTGTTTCAAATAAAAAAAAAACAAACCAAAAAAAAAACTGGGCATCTATTTCAAATGCTGTATGGCACAATGCTCAAGAGACCAGTTTGTTTATCTGTAATCTGTGACTGTGTCCAAGATTAATTGAATACAATGTGAAATGTTTGTGGTATTCAGTAAGGAGATAGTAACAATATTCTGGGAGACTAGCTTGCTTAATACTGCTACATGTATGGCACATTTCTTCTGTTGTGATGCACTCTCTGTGGACTGTAATTATTATACTAGTGACTTGATCTGTCAGAGGGCTTGCAGCCATATCACATTGAAATATTTATTCTCATCCAATCACATAAATTAAGCAACATCAAGCCTGAGCAGTACCCAGATGGGTGAATGCTTTGGAATATTAGGTGCTGTAAGCTCAGATGTGTGGATGGTTTAATGGATAATAATTTGGATGAGAAATTCAAGAACCGAGTTTTAATTCCGGTTGGGTTTGTTACATTCACGTATGCACAAATACACTTGCGAAAGGCATGAGTCCACCTCTTTTCACAGATATGGTTTATGGAATTTGAAGGTTTCATGTTAGTGTCTGCTGTAGGTATGTGTGTTCATATGCGTGCAATTCAAGATGCATACAAAAACTTGTGTTTCCACCCCAGACTGTTTATCCCCATTTATATATATATATATATATATATATAAACTGCAGTGAAACAAAGTTCTCAGAGTCTCTTGGGTATGTTTGTTTTTTTTAATCAAATTTACCCCAAGCAAGGCAGTAAAGCCACTAAGGCACAAGGGTTACTTGGTGTGAAAGAATTAAAAAAAACAGAAAACATTATGAAGGAGTGAGAACAATAGAAGTGTAATCAGGAGGACAGTAAATAACGATTGACATTGCATTTAAATCTTTGAAGATCAAAGTTGGCTGGAAAGCATGGAGCCAAAAGAGAGTTCTGCAGGTGAGAAGTGCAATAGAAGAAACTGTTAACATAGAACTTATGGTTACATCTAGCCAAATCAACTGTAAATTGATGAGACCTAGCAGCCAATCTAGTACTGCACTTAAATTCATAAAGCCTAGGCACCATAGCAAAGAGCTCATCTGAACAATTACTCTGAAAGTATTTATAGAAAATGCACAGGGAAGTAACTTTATGGCAGTTGGAATGTGACTGAAGCCAAGATGCCAGGTCAGGATCTATGATATTGCAGATTCTTCTTTGGATTTTTATCAAGAATCTCTAAGTAAATAACATGGGAACTGGGCCATATGTGGCAGCAATATTCTATGTATGGACGAATGATAGATTTATAGATATGTAAGACAGATTCTGCAGAAAAAATTGTCTTGGCCGACACAGTGAACCAACTTTCTTAGCAGCTGACCTAGCAATGTAGTCTTTCCACCTCATGTCAGCTGAGAATGTTAGCCTGAGAAGGTGCAACGAGTCACTTTTGGGGAGGTTAATATGAACCATGCTGATGGAAAGTAGAAACAGGTCTCTCAGATGAATAATGGAGATCAGTTTAGTTTTGGTGGCATTACAGAAGTTAAGGTAAGTAAGGATAAGCTTCATTATAATGGTTGCATACAAGGCAGCCTTGCACTGAGTTGGAATGACCAAAGAAAAGGTTGATTTATTCTATAGGTGGAGGTTTTGGAAGATGCATGCTGTTATATTCTTCCTAAAACCAGATCTTCTGATTGATGTTACGCAAATTTCCACCACTGGCTGGGTTTGGTTTGTTTTGTTTTACGGCATATCAACCTCAATGAGTTATTTAATGCTGACAACTTTTTTTTTCCTGGTAATATTTTTGATTTGTCAAAAATCTATTTCTGTTAATATTTTTTTCCTCAAAAACGTATAGCTTGTATTATTTTTCCAAAAACGTATAGCTGGTAATATTATTTTTTCAAAAACGTACAGCTGGCAGCATTTTCTTTTTCAAAAACATATTATCAGAGCCCTTAGGACCTAGTTTATTGTCATACCCAGGACGCGGACATAGTTTATTGTCATACCTAGGACGCCCACTAGCTGGGTGTGAATGCTCCGAAAATCCAAGACTGAACTAAAAATTCCGTCAAATGTGCATCGGATCCACACATAACTTCCATTTTACTTACAGACTCAAAGAAAAATACAATCCAGAATTTCTACCCAATAGCACCCACTCCACCCTAAAGAAACAAAATAAAAATTGGAGCCGATCTGAGCCTAAGAAAAAGGAATGCCCCACATTAAAAACTGGCCCTGTACCACATCTTGCCTTGTGGGGAGTTTGGTAAATAGAAAGGACATAAAAGACCATCAAAGGGACATCTTCGACAGTTGGACAGCAGAACATCCAGGATTCACCTCCCATCTCCAAAGATCACAAATCACCCTCCTTCTCCTACCGTACATCTCTATCAATGACTTTTACAATTCTGCTTACCTATTTCTTTCAGACATTTACACCAACTTACCATTTGTTGTATTTTTACATTAATACTAATTGTTTATTTCTTAAACCTCAGTCATTTCTTCTTTGTTCTGCCACCATATGCTTAATATAACAATGTGAATGCCATGCATTGGAAAATGGGAAGAGATTTCTGTCATCAGTGGACCAAAGAAACGAACATGTCCCAGTGGGACCGTCCTTTCTTCCACATGCAGCTACATCATGGAGCAAGGTGAAAAAAGATCGAGAGGAAAGAAAATGTTTAGTCTTTTTAACGGCATTTGATGAAACCAAGTGGATAATAAATTTTCTGGTTCCTTTATTCTTAACATCATGGGAAAATGTATTTCAATTTTTTATTATTCACTATTATTATTTATTTATTGAATTTATTTGATTTTCCCACAGGCTAAATTGTAGGACTTGTATCTGAAAATCATGGATAGCAGCTTGGAATATGAAATCAGAAAGCCAAGTTTGAATTCCAGTCAAGCTTGTTACATTCACCTATATGCAAAAGCCCTTGGGAAAGATATAAATCCAGCTGTTCTTCTCCAGCTATGGGCTAAATTGTAGGACTTGTATCTGAAAATCATTATCTCCAAAAAAAGGGTTAATTTCAGTTGCAAAAAAATAATTATTTTTTACAATCATAAAATATGTTTCAGCTTTAAATAACTTGCAAAAGGTTGATAAACCTTAAAATCAAATCATTCAAATCAATAATCTGTAAGACAAATTAATTTTACTTTAGCTTCCAGAAGGTAACTTAAACTTTTGATTTCATTAATTCAATCTTTTCCCTATGTATTTTTTTTTAATAGAATTCATTTTTTTATGAATGTGGTTCTTGTTTAAATTTCAATTTGACTAAATCTTATTTTTAAAATTCTTCTCTATTCATTTCTTAAAATTAAAATTAAATTTAGTTTTATTATTCTTTATTTTATTTTTTTAAAATTTAATTTATTTATATTTATTTTTTATTCTAGCTTTTGAGTTGGTGTTATATATCTTTTAGATATCTTCAAAGATAGAGAGAGATGGCTTAATAGAAGGAATTAGATCCTTTCTTAAAAAAAGGATTGTTAACATCCTGAATAATCATGTGAACATTTTAAGAAACAACCCCCACCATTCCATTTCATAATCACCCCCACTCCTTTTGACATGTGATTTATATAACCAAGTTTCAAAATATAACCTCTTACAATTTTAAGGATTTATTCAGTTTAGTGTAATGTGACATTAACTTGACCGGTACGAGGCTCCATTGGTTAGAATAGAGATTACGTTTGTTTCGACAACACAACAAAACGCAGCAAAAAAAATTGTTTTCTTATTACATGGTGCTATATTGAAGAGGTCATCTTTTTGGCAGAAATATGAAGAAAAGATTTTGCCTACTTTTGCTAGCCATCTTGGGGTCTTTAATTCTGTCTGGAGCTGAGAATCCGGTAAGTAAATATAATATTTATATTACTGAAGAATGGTTGTCAGATATTTACAAACACTCTAACTTTAATATTATGAATGCTTCCACCATAGATATAGAAAATTGGAGACAATATAATTACACACACACACACACACACACACACACACATATATACCCAAGTATAGGATTGGTGTATATGGAATAAATTCCAATATCCAACAATTACTATTCTTAAAAGAATGCTCAATATAGAGTAGAGCAAATATAATTATTTATTTAAAAATTATAACATAAATATGTTATAAAATCACTAAAACCCTTTATTTTACATTCAACATCATCACTTGATAAAACACCAGAGGTGTTGGAACAAAATGGCTATTTTTGTAGTGATTTTATAACATATTTATGTTATAATTTTAAATAAATACAAATATATATATATATATATATATATATATATATATATATGTGTGTGTGTGTGTGTGTGTGTTATTTGTATATATATATATATATATATACATATATATATATATATATATATATATATATATATATATATATATATATATATATATATATATATATATATATGTATATTTATATATATATATATATATATGTGTATGCATATGGATCTCATGAGTGTATGTAACTATACATATATATATGTGTATGTGTGTGTGTGTATGCATCTCATGTATATGTATCTGAACACACACAACATATATATATATATATATATATATATATATATATATATATATATATATATGACTATATTTTTGAGATGAAGTATTGTAATTTTTAAATTTAAAAGTTTGGCATATTAAATTTTTATTTTATTTTATTTAAACATGTATTGAGCACTTTTTAATACTACTGTTTCCTAGTTTTATTCAACTCTGACCAATCAATGTTTTATATATATATATATATATAACGATCACGATCAAAAGTTGTGTAATCCATTTGGGTTATTGGGGTACCACACCTACTCCAACATTAGCTACAGTAAGTATGTCTCTGGGAAAATAGGCTGACAGTACCCTTCTTTTTTTTTTTAGAATGCTTTTGAATTTGCAGTTGTCCTCTTTCTAAAAATAAATCTATTTATCTGGCGAGTGTTGAAGTTTTTCGAGCCTCACCCACTTCCTAAAACAAATACCATGATGTTTATTGAAATATTGATATTAGGAAGATGCTTTGGCTGAGAACTTTTCTACAGAATATTATATTTACCGATATATGTATGTGAGGAACCTCTGTGTTTTTTTTTTACTGTTTTTGTATACAAAAATAAGACACTTTTTTGTTCATTTTCTCATCAACTTTTCTACACTCCATTATATTTACTTATATATATATATATATATATATATATATATATGTGAGGAACCTCTGAGTTTTTTACTGTTTTGTATGCAAAAATAAAAGACATTTTTATGTTCATTTTTCTTATCAACTTTATTGTACAATATACTGAGTTAGCCAAAAATGTTTATTTTAGATGTTCTTTGATGATGTGTTGGCTTTGAATGTTATTTTGATATATGTCCTTTTTTAGGTTTAAAAAGAGCATCATCAGGCCACAATGAGATTACAATATTACAAACAAAATCATATATGAGATACAATGAAATAAGCATAGAAATAAAAATGATAAATTGCTTTTGTATATATTTCAGAGAAATGATTGTATATTTTAAAGAACATATACAGAAATAAAGAAGTTTTGCTTATCTGTTTATGGCAAAATATTTTATTGCAGAATGTCCTGAACATCTTGTGGTAAAATAATATTATTATTCTACTTGTCTCTCTATATCTCTGAGATGAGGTATTATGATTACTTGCATTATTTACATTATTCGAATTGTTATCCTCATCTTCATTGCCATATTCACATTTCGGCCATTGTACGCTGCAGCCTTCTTCATGTCATTGGATGTCTGAGATGAGGTATTATGATTACTGGCATTATTTACATTATTCAGACTGTTATCCTCATCTTCATTGCCATATTCACAATGTTTTGGCCTCTATATCCCTGAAATGAGGTATTATGATTACTTGCATTATTTACATTATTCGGATTGTTATCCTCATCTTCATTGCCATATTCATAACCTTTTTGCCATTGTACGCTCCAGCCTTCTTCAGGTGATTGGAATTTCAAACTGAACCCTTTTTTTCGTCCACCAGGGTAGATTGTTCTAGTACCACATTCCATGCCTCTTCCCGGTGTCTCAGTTATTTCCCTTTAACACAACTCTCTATGTTTTTTTGGTTCACCACTGCTGTGATCTGGTATTGAAATCACAACTCTTTGGGTCTAGTCACTGGATCTAACCAATGTCTTTATCCACTGTATTCTTAGAATCTCACTTTATCTTTCTTTATTTTTAATTACCATTCTTAACTGTACTTTAAGGTATCTTTTTTATATTGCCTATCTTTTAATTTTTCTTTTATTAATTATTAACTACTAGCAGTAGAGCCCAGCGTTGCCCGGGGATGTAACAGTAAGAGATAGATCAAGTATCAACCATCATAAAGACTGAAAAATAAAATTGACAAAGAGTTATGAGTCTACCGATTGAATAGAATTTTTCAATTTTATCATAAACAATTGTCTTGTAAATGGAATTTTTAAAGCATTCTAAATGTAAAAAAAAAAAAAAAAGTGTGCAAGACAATAAGAAACACTACTGCCAAAAAAAAAAGTGAAGTTTTGCTGAAATCGGTTGAAAATGTAGGAAATCTGATCCCATATATAAACGAACACACACACACACACACACACAAACAAACAACCTGGGTTTTATAATAAGTATAACTCGATATGAGTTGTCCCCCTTTCATTCTTTCTTGCGATGCCTCTTAATTGTGTTTTCAAATTGATTTCGTGCAAAAACAATTCTGTTTTTCTAATTTTTGGCAAGGTAATTTTATGTAGTCCTGTGAAGTTTTGTTGAAATTGGTTGAAAAATGTAGGAAATCTGATCCAATATATAAACGTACAGACACACACACACACACACACACACACACACAACCTGGGTTTTATAATAAGTATGATTTTGTTTCCAGATTACTACATAGGAGGTATTTAGTAATTTATGTATTGTTATCACTACAGGTTTATTAAGTAAAAAATAAAAGATCATTTTTTGTTTATTTTAGTCATTAACTTTATTGGATTGACAAAAAAGTTCCTGGTAACTGACATTATATGTGGACATCTTTTTTTTTAAACATTGTACTCAGCTTGAATAACACTGATGAGCTGCAGTTGTCACTGATATACAGTGGGTGGGGGAACAAATATTCATATACATACAAATTTTAATTTTCTGCATTTGCAACTAATGAATAAACATACTTTTCATATAGTTAACTATTCACAGATGCATAATAACTAAATATGCATAGAAAACAGAAAAATTTTTGATTTAATAGAAATAAATCCAATTTATCCATTTTAATGGGTGAAAAAAGTATTTGTACAATACAAAAAAGAATACATAATCCTAATTTAATACTTTGTAGAATAGCCATTATTCACTTCTACAGCAGCTAACCTCTTTTTGTAGCTCTCAATTGATAATTTGTAAATTTTAGTTGCTATTTTGTTCCATACTTCTTTGCATATAGTCTTCAGGTCCGGGATCTTTGTTGGAGCTCTCAATAGGATTTGAATTTTCATATAACGCCACAGATTCTTGATTGGGTTTAAATCTGGAGCCTGACTTGGCAATTTCAGAATATTTACATTATTTTCAGCAAACCATTTATTCATAGATTTTGTTGTGTGCTTAGGATCATTAGCTTTTTGGAAGGTCCAATCAGGAGGAAGTTCAAGATTTTCAACCGAAATCATTAAATTTGCTTTCAAAATATTTTGATATGCTGTGGCATTCATTCTACCATTTTTTACTGATACGTTGCCAGTACCTTTTGCAGAAAAACATCCCCAAACCATGATGCTGCTACCACCAAATTTCACTGTTGGAACTTTTGTTTTTTTTATATATATATATATATCTTTATATATATATATTTCTAGAATGCAAATTTCTCAATTTTAGGACTTCATCAGACTAAATTCTTTACCAATATGATTTTATTATTATTTATGTTGTGAGGAGACTGACCAAAATTTTAACATGAAAAATCTCTGTCTTTTCAAATAGCAAACAATTCATTGAGGTGAAAATGTTTAGATTGTTCTTGATGAATTTCATTTGTTTATTGTCATTTAGTAAATTTGCACCCATTCTATTACAACATTTCACCATTCCTGACAGATCTATTAATAACAGTGTTAGATATCTAATAACAAAAGTCATGGAAACATCTTGAAAAAAAAATCTTAAATAAAATCTGTTCATTATATACCCCCTAAAAGTTTTTTTTTATTTGCCAATGAATCCCTTCTTCAAATGGAATATTCAGGTTGCATCAATTTAATAAATTTAGTCGAATAAGGTCTTAAAGGATGAAACATGTCATTTGTCAAACTTTTTCTAATATATATATATATATATATATATATATATATATATATATATAATGTTTGCTTTGTTTTTTTAGGCTAAAAGCATTTAAGATAACATTATTGGAACATCTCAGAATATTTTGGGCCTTCATCACAATAGATAAGGGAGGAGCATTTGCGATAAGGCATCAATAAACTACAGAAGAACTCAAAATTGATTGCTGCATTTAAGAATTGCATTAATATTCAAGCTTACCTTTTATAAGTTCAACGATAATTCTTCTGCCGCCACTTAATTCAAAGACAATTTAATGTACGTAGGTCCTTACTTTCTGTACAAACATTTATTTTTATTTCATAGGTGACTTTCTCTGGATTTTGCCATTAATTTTGATCATTCCCAAATTTATTTCCAAGTTAAAAAAATTGTTATCATGCAAAAAATTGTCGCAAAAATCACATAAAAAATTACTGAAACAATCACAGTCATGAAAACTTGATAATCCCAAATTTCCGGA